CTCCAGCTGACGTACAATTAAAATATTCTTTCATTGTTGCAACAATAATTTAACGCACATTTATCTAGAATCCTCCTCAAATGCAATATATTTCTAGAAGTTAAATAATCTGTGGTGCTGTTTCTCTGCTCCACTTGGCGTCATTCCCAAGGAAACTCTGGCCAGTTATATCATTTCTCTCTTGCACTCATGGTTTCCAAGAGTTCAAACCTACTTCTTAGGTTATTTCACCTCCTTGTAAAGTAATTTTTCCAAAATCTATTTTTCTAAAATTAGCTTATAAGCATCAATTCGAAATAGGTTTAAGATTCTGTATTTATTTTCTACAGCTGGTGTCACAAATTACTTCAGATACAAGGGCTCGAAACAGTAGAAATTTATTCTTTCACTGTTCCCTAATCCTGAATTCTGAAATGTGGTATGAGCATGCTTCCTCAGAAGGCTTGAGGAGATAACACTTCTAAGTATTTAAACTTATCCTTTACAAACATGTTTTCATTATTTCAGATTTCAAATATTCAAATTAAAACTGGGTAATTTTTAATTAAAAAAGTAAAAACCATGTCTTGGTCAATATATAGAAATATATTTATATCTATCTATAAATTACATTTTACATATATTTAATATGTGCATTATATATAGCTGAGTAAATATATAACTGACAAAAATGTCATCCATTTAATTTACAGCTTCTGAATATCTATTTCAGTCATAATTGTACTAGTTATTGTTATAAAACAGCTCTAGATGTATTATCATTCATTATCTACCCTGTGAAAGGTGATCTCCATTCAAATAAATGTTATCTGATATCAACACCTTCTGTATCTTTAGTATGAAAATGATTGACATTTCCCATCCTCCTCCCACCCTGTTTCTGATATTTGTAGTTGCTTTCCATTCTTTTATTCTTTCCCACATATCATTAATTCACAAAATATCTTAATCTACATACTTTCAATAGTAAGTTCAGCTCATATAAACGTATCTATGAACAAAAGTTAACTTTAGGCATGAAACTCTGTGGGTAGAATGAATATACTATAAAGCAGCACCTAGATGAGACTACACAGATTACTGTGGTCTTTAAATAGATTTTTTTTTTTTTGAGAGATTTTCACTGTAGGGCGCGTGCGCTCGCCAGACAGACAGA